TGTGTTTGGTCTTTCTTTGATTTCGGCCGCGTTGCCACTCCTTATATTCTTAAGATGATATGAATAAGATCAAAATCAATTCTGGATAGAGCATCGGCTCCACAGTTGTCCTTTCCTTTTATATACTGTATTTCAAAGTCAAATTCTTCTAGGTCTAATCTCATCCGGGTTAATTTTGAAGATGGATTCTTCAAAGAGTACAAGTAGGTCAATGGGCGGTGATCACTTCTCAGCAAAAATTTTGTACCATATGTGTATGATCTGAAGTATTTTATTTCCAAACGTACTGCTGCGAGTTCTTATTCAATTACAGATTTGTTGGTTTCACCTTTGGTGATGGATCTTGATGCATATGCCACGGTAATTGTACACACTTATGTTCTTGGCTGAGAACAGAACCGCATGCATATTTACTTGCATCGGTAGTAATGCAAAAATTGTTTATTGAAATCGGGGTACTGGTGTATTCTTGGGGTTAAAAGTGAATTCTTCAAATACTCAAAGCACTTTTGGCATTCTTCAGTCCAAATAATCTTTGCATTTTTCCTAGTTAGTTTTGTTAATGACAGGGAGTATTCTGTAAAATTCGGTATAAATCTTCTATATAATTACAAAATGCAACAAATCTGTTAGTTTCGTCTGCGATTTTTGGTGTAGGATCAGCTTGGATGGTATCATATTTTAAGTTATCGGGAAGAATTCCCTTGTCATCGCATTTATGACCCAAAAAGATTACTTCATGTCTGAAAAAGATACACTTTTCAGGATGCAGCTTCAGATTATAATTTCTGCACGTCTTGAAGACATCCCTCAGATTTTGAATCATATATTTTTCTGAGCATCCAATTACGATGAGATCGTCAATATACAGAAATGCCTGTTCAGGCGTAAGACCAGAAAACGCAGTCTTTGGAAGGAGTTCGGCGCTACCTTGATTCCGTAAGGAAGACGTTTAAAGCTAAATGATCTTTCATTCGTGGAGAATGATGTTATATCCATAGACTCCCCTTTTAATTCTATTTGATGAAATCCAGACAGGAAAAATATTTTGCTCGACCTAGTTGGTCTAATATATCTTCGATTCTTGGTAGTGGATATTTGTCCGCTATTAAACTTTTATTAATTTGTCTTTAGTCTACAACTAGTCGCCATCTCTTTGCTAGGTTACCTGGAATGGATTTCTTTGGGACTAATAATACCGGACTGTTGTAACATGAAAATTATGCCACTATAATATCATCTTGTATTAATTTGTCAACCTGAGCTTTTATTTCCTGTTTTTGACTCTTTTTAACAAAGAATAATCAACGGTTTAAAATGATTATTCTTAGTTGAATTTAAAGAATTATTAGTTATTCATATAAATTTGCAATTAACAGTCAGTGCTGGCTTCATTCAAAGTTAGTTAGTTCTGGTTAATTTCAAAATTTATTTTAATGTTTACAAGACTATCATATTTGTTTCTTTTGTATAGAGACTAATGCTTACAACTATATTTAACGTTACTTTTGAAAAATGGTTACAATTTTTGTTCTATAATATATTTTATAGTAAACAACAATATTATATAAGGACAACGAAAAATATAAAATTTTTTTTGACTTAAGCGATATTTTTAAAACCTAATTTATGGTTCTTAAAAATTAAATAGTGTTTTTATGAAATATATAAAGATAGTTGGTTTTCAAATGTTGTGATGCTTAAATTTCATTTTAAGTGATTTAAGATGTTTTTTTTTCATTATTATTTTTTTTCATTTTATATATATATACTATACAAAATAATAATGAAAAAAAAAATATCTTAAATCACTTAAAATGAAATTTAAGCATCACAACATTTGAAAACCAACTATCGTTATATATTTTCATTTCATTTCATAAAAACACAATTTAATTTTTAAGAACCATAAAAAAATATAATCTGAAGCTGCATCCTGAAAAGTGTATTTTTTCAGACATTAAGTGATCTTTTTGGGTCATAAATGCACTCACAAGGGAATTCTTCCCGATAACTCAAAATATGATACCATCCAAGCATATCCTACCCCAAAAAGCGCAGACGAAACTAAAAGATTTCTTGCATTTTGTAATTACTACAGAAGATTTATACCGAATTTTACAGAATACTCCCTGCCATTAACAAAACTAGCTGGGAAAAATGTAAAGATTATTTGGACTGAAAAATGCCAAAAGTGCTTTGAGTATTTGAAGAATTCTCTTTTAACCCCAAGAATACTCCAGTACCCCGATTTCAATAAACAATTTTGCATTACTACCGATGCAAGTAAATATGCATGCGGTTCCATTCTCAGACAAGAGCATAAGTGTGTAAAATTACCGTTGCATATGCATCAAGATCCTTCACCAAAGGTGAAAGCAAACAATCTGTAATTGTATAAGAACTCGCAGCAGTACGTTGCGAAATAAAATACTTAAGACCATACACATATGGTACAAAATTTTTGCTGAGAAGTAATCACCACCGATGCCCTATCTATAGTTGATTTTGATCATATTAAGAATATAAGGAGACTCTATATGGTAGCAACGCGGCCGAAATCAAAGAAAGACCAAACACAAAAAGATAAAAAAATTAACAAGCGTGTCAGACATTCTAGGGTCTACGAATCACTAAATGCAAATGAGGTAAAGAAAAGGGTTCGCCTAAAGATTTCTCTCTCTCTCTGGTGCAACTCCAAAGTGTACCCTTAAATATGGGAGAACAACTTTAGAAAATGTAAAGATTGATTACCTTAGAACGAACGGATTGGGACGAATGGCTTAAAAATTTTACATACTGTTTTAATACTACTTCATCAAGAGTCCATGGTTATTGAATTGATTCTCTTGCCCTGAACACTGTAAATCCGCTTTATAATGCTGACTCTTATGAAAAAGAAGTGAAGTACAGACACCAAATGGCAAGACAACGAGCAGCCAAAATGATTACTAAATCAAAATTTTGCAATAAATTGCAATATGACAAAATAGCCAACCCTTTACACGTACAAATAGGGTATTTAGCGCTAGTAGAGAATAATGGCGTCCATAAACTGGAACAATTATTCAAAGGCCCCTACAAGGTCGAAAATATTGATTCTAATGGGAAATGCTCACTGTCATTGTCGGACAGAAAAAGTATTGAAGTATATAAAAAGTGATTAAAATTGTTCAATATATTAAGCAATAACTATAATAAAGAACAAAAATATTGAAAATATTATTTTTTACTGTCTCTTAATTATAACCCTGCTCTAAAATATACGTACGTATAAATTTAGCCTATGCATACAATAAATTTTAATACTAATATAAAACATTGATAACTGGCCAGTGTCTATGAAAATATAGTATATAATAATATATATAGACATTCTGATTCGTAGACCCTCGAATGTCTGACACGCTTGTTAATTTCTTTATCTTTTTGTGTTTGGTCTTTCTTTGATTTCGGACGCGTTCCTACCATATAGGGTTTCCTTATATTCTTAACATGATATGAATAAGATCAAAATCAATTCTGGATAGGGCATCGGCTTCACAGTTGTCCTTTCCATTTATATACTGTATTTCAAAGTCATATTCTTCTAGGTCTAATCTCATCCGGGTTAATTTTGAAGATGGACTCTTCAAAGAGAACAAGTAGGTCAATGGGCGGTGATCACAAATTTCGTACCATATGTGTATGGTCTGAAGTATTTTATTTCCCAATGTACTGCTGCGAGTTCTTATTCAATTACAGATTTGTTGGTTTCACCTTTGGTGAAGGATCTTGATGCATATGCCACGGTAATTGTACACACTTATGCTCTTGGCTGAGAATGGAACCGCATGCATATTTGCATCGGTAGTAATGCAAAATTATTTATTGAAATCGGGGTACTGGAGTATTCTTGGGGTTAAAAGTGAATTCTTCACCCGAATACCGGTGGGTACCGTTATATGGAGGCTATACGATACTGTGGACCTATATAGATAATTCTCTGCCAAGGTATAAAGTACCCTCAAGGAACTACTTGTGTGGATTTTCAGACAATTCCATTGAAAAATGTGGCTAACATAATCAAAATACCGAATATCGGGGGTACCGTTATAGTTTTCCTATCTTAATTCGTTCAGACTGTAGCGTGGTTACAACAGACGGACGGACGGAGACGGAGAATATATATACTTTGTTGGGTCTAAAATGATTATTTCGATGAGTTACAAACGGAATGACGAATTTAATACACCCTCCATACTTTTTTGGTGGAGGGTATAAAAACATGGGTCCGTCGAATATGGGTAATCCTGTAACTACTAAGACACTAGTGAAAATTTAACCGCTTCATAGCGACTAATCAAAGACAGACTGTTTCTTACCGGATCTCAGATGAAGCAACGCGTCAGGGACTCTTGAGTTACCTGTACGGGACTTATCGCAAACTCACGAGAAGAAAACCAATCTATTCCTAAAAACTATTGGAACTAAACAGACATATTTCAGGCCCACGTTCTGAGCCTCATTTTGTAACAACCGGTGTTTGTTATGTAAACGGAAAACCGCAAATGTGTGTCTTTGAATGGTGTTGCCGGTATGCTGGCGTTTTGCGCGGCTATGGCTCGTTGGATGAGGTGTGGTTTTTGCCACTCTTGGACATTTCGGTTTCCCTGCTAGATTACTTCTCGCCATGACACCCCTATCCACAAGGTGCCCCATATTCGAACCTTCACTTGCCCCTCTATCTCATCCCTACCACCTTTTTAAAGAGCTTTAAGCCGAAGACATTGTTTTCAGTTTAATTCTACAAATTTATTCATACTTTTGCTTAACAAATGAATTTTAGTAAAAATTATATGAACATCAAGAACAAGGTATTAGCAAACAAAATCAAAAACAAAATACATTATAAAAAATGATTTCTTGATCTCATTAATTCATTATTATTCTTTAATCTCTCTCTCTCTTCTTTTTCAGGCAATCTAATAATAATTTATTTTTCTTTCTTTTTGTTTCAGGTAATTTCTTTCTTTTTATGAAATTTATTTTCTTTGCAGGTAATTTGTTTTCAGGTTATTTCCCTCTTTTCAGGAAATTTCTTTTCAGCATTTTTTTTTCTTTTCAGGAAATTTCTGGCGGCTGATAAAGATAATTTTGGCTTTATCTGGAGGCGGTTCTTCCCAATGTGTAAGTTAAAAGTTCAAGTTTGTGGTGGCAGCATTGTATTTATATTCCAAACACACTGCAGAACATTTTAATAATGTTACTTTTATATTTTCAGGAAAAGTCAAACAAGGCATATCGGGCCCGTACAAATATTCGGCGAACAAGGACAAAACAACGTTCCTAACACTGGCTTGAGCTCAACCCTGAGTGAAATTCTGTACCCAATGTCGTAAGTAGACTCTAATCTTAAACTGCTTGTTTTCCTTTCAACTAACTTTTACTATTGTCTTGCTATGCAATTTTCGTGGAATCTAATTGGCTTGCTGTGCGTCCGTCCCTCTGTCCAAGTTGAAGGGTACAAAGTCTATGGGAATTACCAGGGCTTGCCAGAGTGACAAAGCTGCAAATCTGCGCCCCCACGTTGGACTGGATGGTGTTAGAGTGGCTCCCGAGGTTAATTTTAAGATGGTTTCCAAGTTTGTGTTTAAATTTTTAAACTTTGTTTAAGTTAAGTTGTTTAATTAATTGTTTTTAATTTTTTTTAACTCCTTTTATTTTAAGTTTTAAAGCAAAACGAAAATTTAATAAATGCCAAAAAAATTAAAACACTTCGGGTTTTCGTGTTGGTCTTACTGTTGTGGGTTGGCTGGAGCCGCACATCCAATCTTCTTACAAGTGAAAATCAAATTTTCCTGCAAAAATTTGTATAGGAAATTTCTGTTTGTCATCCTTCTTTTCTTTTAGTTTTCATTCCCTTCATCTTGACATTTTTGCATACGGTTGCAATAAAACAGCTGTTTTTGCAGATGGTTGGCAATATTCTTCCTCTTCTTTTCTATTTTTTCATTTTTAAACTTAACCCTCTATAAGACGCACCCCACATAAATGACATTGTGCTTAAGGTTGAGCATGCTAATGTTTATTTTATTACAATTATTGCTTTACTAGTCACGCAACTACTGGTAACACTTTACCAGTTGCATACAAGGGTATTGAGAACAAATTATATCAGTTCTGCTTCAATCGGAAACGGTCTTGATAAGGTTTAGACTGTGTTTTGCTGTGTAAAATATCTATTTTTTTTCTGTTCTGGTTCGTATATATTCAAGCAATAAAAAGAATATATACCTTTACTAAAAAATGTCACATTATAACGGAAAACATATCCAATTATACTTTTATGCGGAAACAACGCCCCCGGGACGATGGTAGTGAACAAATATTGAAAAGGCTAACAAAAAAATTTCCTGATTTTGCAAAAAAAACTTTTAAGTGACTTATGTACTGAATTCTCCGACATTTTTGCTTTGGACACCGATAAAATCTCAACGAATAATTTTATAAACAAGAGTTCGGAGTAAAAGATGATACCCCTGTTCATATAATAAATTATAGAAATCCATATAGTCAAAAACAGGAAATCAAAGCTCAGGTTGACAAATTAATACAAGATGATATTATAGAGCCATAATGTTACAACAGTCCGGTATTATTAGTCCCAAAGAAATCCATTCCAGGTAACTTAGCAAAGAGATGGCGACTAGTTGTAGACTACAGACAAATTAATAAAAGTTTAATAGCGGACAAATATCCACTACCAAGAATCGAAGATATATTAGACCAACTAGGTCGAGCAAAATATTTTTCCTGTCTGGATTTCATCAAATAGAATTAAAAGGGGAAGTCTATGGATATAACATCATTCTCCACGAATGAAAGATCATTTAGCTTTAAACGTCTTCCTTACGGAATCAAGGTAGCGCCGAACTCCTTCCAAAGACTGATAAGAGTAGATTTAAAGCACGGCCATTCAAGTGAGTTCCATTGATTGGTCTGCGACGTTTTTGGCTCCAGGTCAGGGTCGTATTGCAATAGAACAGCTTCAGGGATGTTTGTATCTGCGTCTTATTCCATTTTTCATTAATCTTTGTTTTGAACAATAACCCGAACTCACCATAACCCTGTATTGAAAGTGTAGAGCACTTTTATTGAAATACTCCTAATGAATCAGGAATTTGACTTTCACTTACCGTTGTTTTTATCTATTATCCCACCACCTAACTACGAGAATATCAGTTTTATTGCCGCAATAATTCTACTCCAAGGTAGTTTTTTTATGATAATTTGATTGCGAAGTATCTGGAAAGAGAAGAAGGTTGAAGAAGTTAAATACATGTTATTACATTGAATTTGATTAGTTCCTTTAGTCAATAATTGACTTATTGTTATTATTGTTTTGGATTATTCTTGAAGTATTGATATTGATGATTAAGATACTTTGAAATTGCCCTTGTAGTTCTTCAATGAGATATATTGAGTTACTTATTTCCTAATTGTTTTGAAAACAATTTTGAGTTATTATTTCTTATTCTGGAATCAGTTGAAAGAGATAGTAATATGCAGACCAGGGCAAAGTGGGGCAGTACTCACCACCTCGGCTATAACTGTTAGCAATGCCACTACTACAGCCACCAGCATTCTAACTTCCACATCAAATATTATGACAACCGCTCATAATGTACCCCTTACCACTCATAGTGTCTTTACAGGGGCTACAAACGCTCCTCCGTCAGACCTGAACATACCAGCAACTTCCGCCTCGTCATTAGCTGCGCCACCAATTCCCTCCGGCGTACAAGAAGCCTCCAACTCCTTCAACACCTCATATTGGTCGCATGGAAGCGTTGCATCTCCAACTTACAGCGTGTTGACAGGGTTGCAGCAGCTGCAGAGCAGAACTGGGGTTCCGCCAGCAGATCCAGTAGTCAGTGCAGGGGTCAAAGAGATCATCAACTCGGCCACCGTCTTGTCACAACTGCAGTATCATCAGCAAGAAGAAGAGAGGTTGAGAGCATTTATACCTCGTATTGCCGAAGCCACCAGGCGTTCTTTGATGATCGGTAACGATTCAGGAAACAATTTGTTTCCACCATCCCACTTGACGATGCAAGCAACGACGAAGGCACAGGACCGCTCCTCGTTGGAGTCAGCCATTGTCACTTCAGCAGCGTTGGAATCAGGATTGAGAGCGGAACAATCGCATGTAGCCATGGGACATCCACCGCCATTGTCTCAACAATATAATTTTGGTTATCCTCCAGTTCCGATGGCAAACCCACATCAACCTGTAACAGGTGTACCAATATCTGCATTCAACCAGCCACCACCAAATCTTGTAGTACCTCCACCAAATGTCCCATTTCCAAGATTTCCGAACAGCTATAACCTTCGGCAGCCAGGAAATCTGCCTGCAGAGACAATGAATGTCCAGGAATTCATTTTTCGAGTAGGAGCGCTCATGAAAGACTATAATTGTCCCGAGGAGGAGTTCCTAACCAAGTTTCACCAGATGTAAGACCCACCAGCTTTAGATTGGTACTGGAATAGCAGGAAGTTCATGCCGCTTCGGACGTGGCGCGAGATAGAGAGGGCACTCTTGATGCAATACCAGCGCTTTGAAAATGAATTTCAAATCCAAATGCAGATCCTTAACCGGCGACAGTTACCGCAGGAGACCTTTGATGAATTCTACAATGCCGTGCTTAAACTCCGTACCCAGCAAGAGACGCCTTATAAAGAGCAAGCGATGGTTGAAATTATAAGAGGAAATCTTAAGCCAGCCCTTGTCCAAATGATATTTTCGGCGCAAATTCAAGATTTAGGGGAGTTCTATAGGCAGGTGAAACGAGCTGAGTCCTTAATTGCGAGCCATAGGCAGCAGAGATATGCCGTGCCCCAGAGGGTGCATGAGCTTGATTGGCAGTAAAAAAAGAATTTTCAGCGAAAGTGGAAGTAGATGCAATAGGCGTTACATCTAGATATAGATGCTGGAACTGTGGAGTGATGAGACACAGCTAGATGGAGAGAGCCCAGGAAGATATTTTGTTATAGATGTGGCCAGGAGGGTGTTACCGTTCCAGATTGCACTAGGTGTCAGGGAAACCGTCCCAAGAACCCACCTCAGTCTGGGTAGGTGAGGTCAACTCCAGTCTAAGCCCAGCAAAAACAAATAGGTTAACTTGTAGCGATAAGGTAATAACTTTAAAGAAAGTGAATTTGAGCCAATTGATGTCAGAGTCAGATTCAAAAGTAAAGTTGAGGGAGCTTCAACCGCTCCATATCAGTATCCAAGAATACAATGAAGCCAGAGCGAGAATCTTCGGAGAAGTTTCGAATAAAATAAAGAAGGCTCGGGAGAGGTATAAGAGGAGAAAGCGTTTACGTAGGGAGATAGCCTCAGCAACCTTGTATGAAGGTGATGATACCCGGCTATATACGAAACTGTGTATTAATGGCCGGGAAATAGAGGGCTTATTAGATAGCAGAGCAGCAGTTTCTTGTTTGGGAAAGAACTTCCTCAGCTTTGTTGAAAGAGCATGACTAACAATCGGTCAGTTCCATTCATTCATCAAAACGGCTGATGGCAGTCCTCACAATATAGTGGGAAGGGTAACAACTAATGTTCTTTTTAACAGACAAACCCATTCTAACTGGTGCCATCGCTGAGCCATGAATTGTTTTTAGGGGTAGACTTCATGGGAAGTTTCCATTTGTTTGCTCAGGTTGACGGTTTGTCCCTCCATCAAAAGAGTCCCAGCGGTGCCGTGGAGATCAATTATGTAAAAACTCATACATTGTCCGATGAGCAATGTATCCGTTTGCAATTGGTGAAGGACAAATGCCCATGCTTTACGAAATATGGCTTGGGGAAAAACTAAAGCTGAGGTCCATTCAATGTACACCCGCGAAGCAACTCCAGTGAAAGATAGGCATTACCCCATATCCTCGGCTGTGCAGAAGCTTATGTTTGCGGAAGTGGACAGAATGCTAGACCTAGGTGTGATTGAGGAGAGCGAGAGTCCATGGAGTCATCCGGTTACTCTAGTCCGAAAGGGTGACAAGAACCGTTTGTGCCTGGACGCTCGCAAACCCAACGTACTGACGGTCAAGGATGCCTATCCATTGCCACATATAGAGGGTCTGCTCAGTCGGCTGGGGGGTACCTACTTCATATCCAGTGTCGACCTGAAGGATGCTTTCTGGCAAATTCCATTGGATCTTTCAAGTAGAGAGAAAACTGCTTTCACGGTGCATTTCACGGCCATGCCCTTTGGTCTATGCAATGCAGCCCAAAGGTTATGCCGTCTAATGGATAAGGTGATCCCTGGTGCACTACGTGACAGAGTTTTCGTCTACTTGGATGATCTTTTGGTAGTTTCGCCAGACTTCGACACTCACCTGAGGTTGTTAGAGCAGGTGGCAGATTGTTTGGCTAGAGCTGGGCTCACTATAAATGTGACCAAGTCGAAGTTCTGCTTCAAGGAACTTAAGTACTTAGGTTACATAGTTGGAGGTGGCCAGTTAAAATCTGCTCCGGCAAAAGTGGAGACTATTATGCAATTTTAGTATCCAGGAAGTGCGAAGCAAGTAAGGAGTTTTATGGGGACAGCAGGGTGGTATCGAAGGTTTATAGCCGACTTGCCACCATTGTGTTTTATAAATTCGGTACACAATTATATCTGATAATGGTAAACAATTTACCAGCAAAGAATTCGCCGATTTGACGAAGAATTTTGGGATATATCACAT